CAGCCTGGAAAGCTCTCGTTGGTGCTGTGACCTCAGCATGTCACCCAAGGTGACAGAGTCAGGAGGTGGTGTCCTGGGGAGGGCTAAGTCAGGAGGCTGGAGAGCAGGGCCTTGTAACAGAGGCCCGAGGGAGTCTCTGCCGTCTGCCCTTCTGCTGCGAGAGGGTGCAGCAGAGGTTGCTGAGATGGGGTCCTCGCCAGCACTAAATCTCCTAGCACATGGAGCTTGAGCTTCCTGACCTCTACAACTGTGAGCAACAAATTTATGCTGTGTATAAATGACTGGCCTATAGCACATTTCCCTAGCGGCAGGAATGGGAGGGCACTGATGGCCATGAGGCACCCTCACCTTCTGCAAGGCTTTGCTCACACTTTGCTGAAGTACACCACTTATGATTCCAGCGTGCCCCACGTCCCATCCTGGCGCTGGCCTCCCACTCTGGACTTTACTTATTGATCTGTCTCCATCCACTAGCTCCGAGATGGCAGATATGTTTGCTTCGACTCCTGCTCTGGCAGCAGCACCCAGTACACAGAGGGCGCTGTATAAACATTTGCTTATGCAGTGGATGAGTGAAGGTCTCCTTTGCATAAAGGACCCTGCTTTGCGCCTAACTCAGGGCATGCTCTCCTGACCTGGTTCGGGGCCTGAGCTGCTGGGGGCGCCGGGTCCTCGAAGGGGCACATGGGTCCTCAGTCTAGGGGACCTGGACCTTAGACTGGCTCCTAGACCATGCCTCCAGAAGGGTAGGAATCTCAGCACGGGCTTGGCCACCGCTGCCCCCTCGTTGGCCCTGGAGAGGAGCGCTGGGCCTTGTGCCTGGAGCTAGATGGAATTATTGCACCAGAGGCTGCCTCAGTTTGAAGGTCTGGATCCACAACCCACATACTTTGTCCAGGGCAGATGCCCAAAGCTGAAACCGAAATCTACCGGAGACAATCTGGGGAGAGCTGGAGGCCGAAGCCTGAGCAAACAGGCGAGGAGGAAGGGCTGGGCGAACCCAAGGCATTAGCAGACATCAGAGCTTGCAGTGCTGCCCGGGAAGAGGCAGAACACTCCAGAATGTGAGTGTCCTCACATTCAAGCCTCCTTCCCTCATTAGCACCAGAGTGGGTCAAATATAAGGGAAATGATAGAAAAGGTGACAAGGGCAGGAGGGCAGGGGGACCAGAGGCCCAGTCACACAGTTCACCCCTCCACGGATGTGCTGGGACTCTGGTGGATTCCTGTCCATGTCAGGCCTTGGTGGCTGCCTGTACCGTGAGGGTTTGAGTAGGCAGCTTCCCTGCACAAGGGCTGGCTGGGTCCTCCTAGGATGCCAGCTGTGTGCCTGTGCAAGCTGTCACAACACAGCAGAAACCCGAACGGATGTTGATTGCTGTTCGGTGAACGGCTTGTACAGCTGTACCTGGCAGCCTCACTTGCCCTGCACTTAACAGATTCCAGCGTGTACTTTAAAGGCTTAAATTTGGGAAGACTCTGCAGAGAATTGTTCAGGGTAACTGCAGTGCTGGATTGAGCTTCTGGACTGTGTGATATCCAGATGGCTGCCTGAGCTGGCCCATCTTTGCCCAACTCAAATTTTCCTCTAAGGCAGAAAAGCCTGCCTCCTTAAGGTCCCAGACATGCCTTCTGTCTGCTGACCCCTGTGCCATGGCCAACAGGGGTGGCGGGAGCTCTTCCTTGGGGCCCAGGAGCCCAGGCTGTTCAACTCAGTGGCCTGTAAAGAATATCTCTGCATTTCTCAGCTACACAATAGTGCGACTGGGTGGGTGGGATTCCAAAGTAACCCCAGACCCAAGACCTTGGCTCTGGGGGCGCCCACTGGTACAGTCTGGGCCTCTTATTAATAGACCAGCTGCGAGGGCTGGTTTCCCTTTCACTCGCTCTGGAGCTGGCAGTCTCTGCGGGGACAGCTTCCTTGCAAAACAAACAGAAGAATCAATACTTCTTCCACAGGGGATGTGTAGGGTCTGCAGTCGGCAAGCCAGGCCCTCCTCTACTCTGCTGGCCAGACCCAGGTCCAGGGGAGGGGTCAGAGGTCGCCAGGGCACTTTCTGCCTCAATTCAGTAATCTGCCTACATTAAATCCAACAGATATTTATTGAGCAGCTTCCACAGCAATCTGGCTAGGCCGACAGAGACGGGAATGCACAAGATGCACCTGGGGCCCTGGGGACCACACATGTTGTCTCCAGGAGACAGACACTGGGAAGGTCTGCAGTGCCATAGGGGCAGGTAGGATACCAGGGGCCCGAGCCCAAAGGCATCCCCTTCTGGTGTAGCTCTCACGGCTCAGGCCTCACCCAACAGTGCCAGTGGGATGGCTCCTACCGAGGCTGGTGGGTGCTCTGGGCTCTGGCCCAGCCAGCATAGTTTCTGTCTTCATTAGCTTCCACTGGCCTTGCCAGGACAGCCCGGAGCAAGCCTGACCCCAAACCTTAACACAGGAGAAGTTCTTGGGGGCTAGTCAAGAACCCAAAGCTGGACCCCAGCCCTGGAGACTCAGGACCAAAAGCAGCTACAGTGAATGAGGCCTGGGACTCTGCCTGTGACTTAGGAAGTGGAGTCCATGGACCAGAAGCACCACTGTCTGGACATGGGGGAAATACCACTCAGAGGGCAGCAGGCTGGTGGCCGGCACAGCTCTTGTCTCCAAGGTCCAGAGGCCTGAAGGGAATCCAGCGGGAGTCCTTGCAAAGCCTGGTGGGGGTGGGGAGCTCCCTGGGAGTTGTTGGGTGGAGAGGAGAGGTGGGAGAGTGCCCAGGCTCTCCCAAGAGGTCAGAGTGCCTTCCCACAGGGCAAAGGGAGAGGCAACAGGTCTGTCATCAATTCAGTCCTCCTCCGGAGGCCCCTCGGACTTCACCTGGAGCCTGGTCACACATGTGCAGTGAGGAGCAGGACTGCAAGGAAGCACGCCAGAACCCTCCGGGCACAGTGGCAAACCTGAGTGACAGCGGGGTGAGGCCTTCCAGAAATGCTGGCAGCCACTGTGGCTCCAGCAGGATGGGGGCGGGTCAGGATGGGATGCAGGGGACAGGCTGGGTTGGGGAGAGCGAAGCCAGGCAAAAAAAGAGGCCATTGTAGTAGAAGAAGCACAGAGGAACCTGCCAGGAGACAAATGAGCCAAATGTTCCAGAGGGACCGGCGCACAGGAGGCCTCTCCCTGAGCCCCTCAGTGACCAGTCAGCAAAAACAAAGCCGCTTCCCCAGTCCGCATGTCCGGGCGCAGGGAGGAGCCGGGAGGCACAGACTGCAGCCCCTGGACCCGGACCTGCCTGGCTGGCCTGTTTCAGGATAATCAAGGAGTCTAGTGGGGAAGCGGAGCTTCCTTCCCGAGAGCCCGGATTAAACCGCGGAATATGGGTGACACGTCCGAGAGCGGAGGACACGGCAGTTAGAATTCTGCCAGCATCCTAAAATATTCATGAAACCTGGGACCGGACTTGACTGTTAACACCGCACTGGTTCCCTCCAACGGAGTGGCAAATGGGCGCCAGGCACTGTCCTCCGTCCCTTTGATCTCCCTGGTCTACCAGGGAGGGAAGGGGGCAGGGAGGCTGGGATGGCAGGAACCCACGCTCTCTGGGTGGCTCATGTCCCCCCCAAGAGCGGGAAGAGGGACTTTCTTCTAAGCGCAAGGCAGAGCCACTGATTCTCCAAGTCTGCCTCCATGGAAAGTGATCAGCGGGGGCCCCGGGAGCCGACTCTGCCACATTTCCCCTCTTTGTGCCCGCAGCGTCATTATGCACGCAAATCTCCATGAGCGGCACAGGCAAAAAGCAAAAATGTCTCAAAACACTAAATTGGCCTTCGAAAGGAAACAAGGAGGAGAAGAATGAAATGAACCCCTGGCTTCCCTGGGAAGGAGCGTCTTCAGAGCATCGAGGGTGAGCTCGGTGCAAAACTGCCGCAATTTAACAGGGTGTCTAATTAAAAGGAGTGACATGAAAGGCCTTTCTTCCTGCTTTGGGTTTTGCTTCTTTCTACGCGGGGATCAAAAGTATAACAACGTGAGGACAAAGAGTTATATCCACAAACAATGAGAAGCAGCGTAGCAGCGACCGGATTCGGGGTTTTGAAATCTTTCTGTGCAACAGACAGAGGTGGCCGAGCCTTGCTGTGCACGTCTGCTGTGTCAGGAGGCCCAGTGGCAGAGAGGAGCAGCCCCGGGCAGACAGGGGGAGTTTAGACAACTAAATCCAGCGTGGGGTGCGCCGAGGGAGAGGTGGGGACAGGTGTCCCCAGCCTCGGGCCTCTTCCTCTCACATGGGGGCTCGGGGGGGCATTTACTGTAGTCATCCTGTTTTCTCTTTAAAAAGTGATGCTTTTAGGAGGGGGAGTCATAACAGTGACATCTCAGAGGACATGGATATGCTCTGGGACGAGGTGGTGGCACTCCTGCGCCATCTTGAGCATGTCCTCAGTGGGCTGAATTGTCTGCTTTAAAACGGTGAATCTGATTACATATCGTGTAACATAACTTTATTTTTTCTAACAAGGGTTTTCTAAGGTCATCCTGCATTTGAACTCAGCTTACTGCTTTAAGGCCCCCACGTAATTCCTGAGCCTGGGGAGGGGGTGCCCTGGGAGGAAGCCTTCCCAGAGTCCGTGGGGTCCCAGCTCCCAGCTGGGCTCAAGCACTGCAGGGGGAGGAAGCCTGTGAGGCCACATCACAGCCGTCCCCTCCAAAGGCCACCAGCACCGTACCCAGCGGCATATCCTCCGGAGCTCTTCTCGGTCTAATTTTAAACCCTTCCCTGTAGCAGAGGCGCGGAAGTGCTGCTCCTGCTCTGAGCAGGGGCTGCTACTGCTTAGTTCATTTCTGGGAGGGCGGCTGGTGGGCTTGGCTCCGGCTCCTTCCTGTCACCCCTCAGAGCCTCCTGAAACCTCTCTCTTGCTTCCAGTTACATATGGGGCCCTCCTCTTAGTGAGGGAGTTCACCAAGCCAAAAATCTGGGGAGCTGGCAGGGGCGTGGGGGGGTGGGGATTGGGAGAAGATGGGGAGGCGGTGTGGAGACAGAGCTTCCCTGGGATTTGGCAGGGCCCCAAAGCCAGATCCTTCCCTTGGAGTTGAACCTAGCTGCCCAGCCTTGAACTCCGCATCTGAGCCCCCCTCCCCGGGACTGTGCAGAGGCTTAGCTGCACCTCCGTGCAGCCAGCAGCCGGCTGTCCATCTGTTAACGCGCTGGCCAGATCGAGGCCTGGTGGCACAGGAGTGACCCAGAAGTAGGTATAATCCTCTCTTCTAAATGTGCTTAATACCATCGATAATCTTGTCACATAAATCTCCTGGTTAGCAGTGAGCTGCAGCTATCACCGCGAGACTCCAAGAATCTCTCAGTAACAGATCCTACCTCCTGTCACCCATCTCCTTTCTGATACGGCTTCAGCTGCCATGTTGCCGAGTGAGTGTTTGGGAGAAGCTCCCTGACCTTTGCGGGCTGTTTCCTGGAGTAGCCCTCCGGGCCCTGTGACCCTCCCTTTCCCCCGTCCTTTCCCTATCTCTGCCGAGGACCTGCTCTGCTTCTCTGCACGCCTGAACCCCTCAGGTGGCCGTTTTGGGGTCTGGTACCCTGGTCCACATCTGCTGCTTCATTTCCATGTTTTTTGAAGACTTTCTAGACCAAGAGCTGTTCCCTGCGACTTTCTCTGACCACTGTTGATCCCAGAGGCCTCTGTGTTCCGAGTGTGTCCAAGGAGGGCTTCTCCAGCAGAGCCAGCCTGGGGTACGGTGTAGCCCCACACTGCAGGGACACTCAAGTTCCAGCCTTCCTCTGAAGAAATTAAACTCAAGTCCTTCGATCACTCCAGCACGTCAGTGACCAGAATGCACGCAGGGCAGAGCCAGGACTTTCCACGTGCAAATCTCCTGGCGCCACCTCTTCCCTGTGTTCTAAGCCCCCACCTAGGGGGCAAATCAGGAAAAGAGGTGCCTTTCCCCAAGGGTGTGGTGCACAGTTAATGAATAAATGCCTTGTGAGAGGCACTGACGCCTGCCCGCCTGCCCTGGGACAGCGCTGGCCTGCCACCAACAGCTGGGTAAACAAGCGGGCTGGATCTAATCCCGTGCCCAGCCTCCCGGGGGCAGGAGGAGAGCGTGGTGGGCCTGGGCGGCCGGCTGGAGCCTGTGGGATTGGCTTCTGAATAGGTCCCTAAGCCCTGGCTGGCATTTGGGGACAGTCTCCTGGGGTGGTGCAGGTATACAAGGCCTTCCGCCCGCAGGGAGCCCATTGCGGTCACAGGACCAGGTCCTTCTGCCCACGAGGACCAGTCTGAGTCAGGGAGGTGATGAGCCGGTGGGTCTGCCACAGTTTTCTCCTTTGTGTTCCAGTGAAACAGAGGGACAGAAAAGGCAGCAGAACGGATTTTCTTTGACCACTAAGAAGAGGGAGTGGTCCGTGCTGAAACTTTCATCTGGTATTTTGATTTCTAAAGCTCTTTGGGGTCCACCAAGGGCCTTCTACGAGGGGACTCATCAGCAGCACTCGCTCCCTCTTTCCCCCTCTGGTGAAGCAGGGCCCGCTTAGGGGAAGCCTTGGTCTGACCTCTGCATGGCTGGACGCAGCCCCCTTGCATTCCTGGGCTGCTGCTTTAGCTGACATTTCAGGGTTCTCCACCTGGCAGCCCACTTGTCCTAGGAAGCAGGTGGGCGTCATCAGGAAGTTCGTGGACACTGTCCTGCACGGGACAGATGCATGACAACGTGTCACTTCCACACAGCAGAGGGGATGGAGGCCAGCTTCCTGGGATGAGCCCCCAGGGGCCTCTCGAGAGACACAGGCAGGGACGTTTTCACAAGGTGCCTTAGTGTCCTAGGGTTACTGGAACGAATAGTCACACACTAGCTGGCTTAAAGGACAGAAGCTTGTTCTCTCGTAGTTTGGGGCCCAGAAGTCCAAAGCCCAAAGGCCCTGGGGGAGGATCTTCTTTGGGACCTCTGGTGGCCCAGGGTACAGCCCTTGGCTTGTCACAGCACTGGTGCTGTCTCTGCCTCTGCCTCTGCCTCTGTCTTCACATGGCCTCTCCTGTGGGTTCCTCTTTTCTCTTATAAGGACTGTCTTTAGATGTGGGTCCCACCCGATTCGGGACAGTCTCATCTTGAGAACCCTACCGTAACTGTGTCGGCCTACACCGTGTTTACAAACAGGGTTATTTTTAGAGATCCCAAGTGGACATTCTTTGGGGAGGGGGGTACTAGTTAACCTACCAAATGGAGACTGATCCAGAAGCAAAGCCCTGGGAAGCCACAGGTTCCTCAGAAGTGGGCTCTACTAAAATAGAGACCACAATCCTCGCTGGAAGAATGGAGGGAGTCTGAGATCTCAGGATGCTCCAGGTGAGTCAAGGGCAGGGTTGGAACACAGATCATCCAGTTGTGTCTTAGATCATCCAGTTGTGTCGTCAGCCTACAATCCTGGTGATTGGTATTTTGGGGTCCCCTGCGGGCTAGATGTCCCAGAAGGCTGACAAAGCTGTTCTGACCCTCTGGGCCCCAGGTACTGTCACCCTAAACTTGCAGGGACCTTATCCTTCCAACTCCTGGCTCATTGCTGGCACTCAAAAATGTTAAATAACAATAATAATAATAACACATCTGCGTGTGACACTTTAATAGCCGATCTGTCATTTTTCCACTTTATTTCTGGGATCTTAAGAATGGTGCCCTTCCTGCACAAAACATCAGGGTGCATTTATATTAAAAAATGAAACTAATTAAAATGTTTGAAAACCATAAACCACCCCACCGTAAAACAGCAGCAACCCCGCTTTTCTAGTCTAAAAAGGATTTTTCTTTCTCATTTTGTGGCCTGCACTGATGCACCAAGTCCTGGAACAGGAGGCCACGGGAGGCTGGGCTGCCTTGAGCTCCAGCGCGGGCACCGGAGGGCTGTGAGGAGAGCGGAACTCGAGTGGAGAAGTCCTGGAGATGGTAGGGCTCAGGCCACTTTCTGGGCTTCAAGGGCTGCTCCCCGGAGGGGAGCACAGTGTGGGTGATACACGGGCTGGGATGACGATGGTGAGAGGGACAGGGGAGGGTCCTGGGTGCCAGCAGCTTCTGCTGGCACAGCTGGGTGGATGGTGGACCTTTTCCTAGCACTAGCTGTGCGGGTGTGGAGGGTACAGAGCTTGGCTCTGGCTATTTTACCCTGGCAGATCTAAAGACAGACACTGGGGGGTGGGGGTGCAGGGGGGGGGGGAAGAACCGGGAGCTAGAGACAGGCTTTGGAAGAAAAAATCTGAGTTCAAATCCTATTTCCTACCACTTACAAGCCGCAGTGTTGAGTAAGTTACCCAGGCTTCCTGAGACTCAGTTTCCTCCTTTGTAAATAGACTCATCTAGAGAAGTTGTTGTGAGAACTTGGCCAAAACGCGTGATCCTCTCTGGAAATGATTTTAGAAACAAAAGTAACAACAACAAAACAGATATAACCACAACTACCCATAAACAGAATGTGGGTTGGAGCCCAGGACCATCTGGAGCCCGGGTTCTAGATCTGAAACAGTGTTAGAGAGTGGAGGATTCCACATTTCACGGGAGGGCAGCAATAGCTTTGCAAAACACCTCACATGGGGATTCCTTTAATCAGTGAGGAGCGACATGCATTGCAATACGTATTTAATTCATCTGTGGCAACTGACTATTACCACCGTGATGCCCCACAAAGGATGAGAGAGGACGGCTCTGAAAAGAGACCACACCACTGTGGAAAAGCGGAATACAGTTTTCAAAAGTGCACTGCTATTCTTCAGGAAAGCAAGTGGATTTCCATGACTACAACTTCTACCCACAATTCAATTTGATAATTCAACACATATGTACAGAGTGAGTACAGGGAAGCAGGAGCTGCTAGCGATTCAAAGCTTGGGCAGACAAGGTTTTGGTCTCAAGGACCTGCATTCTGGGGGAGACAAACAAATACAGGGGGAGGTTGTGATCACAGCAGCCACAGGCCAGGCTTACAGACTACGTCCTGGATACCAGACGAGCTGCAGGCAGCCCACAGGATTAGCTGGCTTCCCGCCCTCACGACCCAGTGAAGCAGACAGCACGATTACCCTGTCTTTTAGAAGAGGGGCTAAGGCACCGAGAGACCTCCTTAAGATCATACAGCTAGAAAGGAAGAGGCAGGATTCGCACTTGGGTCACCTGATTAGTCAGAGACCCTAATACCACCACTGTGCTGGCGAAGAGGTGTGTTAGAGATGCCTGGTGTGCCCCTGGCATCCTGCCTCAGGTAGATGGCTATGCTGGATTCACCAACTGATGGTGAAGAAAGCTCTTTGCCCTGTCTCTCAACCGTCCCAGCCGCCTCCTCTCCTTTGTCACCCTCAGGCCTAGCACCAGGCTGAAGCTGAATGGGAAATCCTGGCACGAACACCCCTGAATGACAAGGAGATCTCTGCAGTCCCCGAAGTTGGCAATGGTTTGGGGACCATCTCTTCAGTCCCTGCAGTCCCTAGACAGGCTGGGACAGACATCAGTGTTCTGACAGTCACGGTCAGGGTAGGACAAGAGGTCTCTTGCTTTGCCCAGACCTGCAGGCAGGCAGATCCTTGGGAGCCTGCGTCCCAGTTCTCCTTTCTGATTTTTCTGGGTGGGGCATGGACCTCCCATGCTCCACAACAGGCTCTTGGCTTTGATAATAAAGAACGGAAGCTGGCTCCTGTTTATACAGCAATACTGGGGTCTGAGCCAAAGGGAGGAGCACGGTGGGAAGCCATGTGCAGCTTCCAGCCCAGAGCATTTGGGGTCACGATGGCCAGCCAGCAAGCATCACCAGGAGAACACCTGCAGGTGCTGGTGCTTGACCTGACCGTGGGCAGGGCGTGCTGGCCCTTGGGTCTTTGCCACCAAGGATGCCAGAGGTGAGCGTGAACAGCATGGAAAGGGCTGCTGACTTTCCGGCCTCTGTAAACCAAGTTCACAGAGTTTTAGGGTCATGAAGTAGGGGGATACAGGATATCTGGACGGGGAAGATTACAAAAACAAAAACAAAAACAAAAACCCACCAAACCCTGCATATACAGTGTTGGGTGAAACAGTTACCAGTCTCTGCTGGGAGGAAGTGTCTCAGGAAGTTCTTAGGCTCCTTCCCTGTGACTGTATCAGGTCAGCAGGGCTGTCGGCCTGGCCAGGGCACCGAGGAGAGCTCAGAAATGATAATCCCAAATTCCAAGCACCAGTTTCATCCTCAATTATTTATAAGAAACATGATGTGGTGCAATGTAATCTAATTCATAACGCCTTTTTAATGCCTTTATAACACAACATTCACAATATTCCCTTCTAATCTCAGCAGATGACAAGTTGCCACTATTGAATGCCCGTTAATATGAATTATGGGTACAATAGAATTTGCCCAATATCATCTCTTCAGCCTAATATTTCGAGGGAATAAAAAATCACACCCTCAGCATATTCCTGATGAGAGAGACAGGTGGTGCCGGGAGCCCGTCCCACTGCAGGGAGGGGTTCCCAGCAGGGCCGTGGGCAGGATTTCAGAGCCTGGAAGGTGAGGTTTTCCTCCTCTGAGGCCGTCTTTGCAGACTCATATGGCCGGTCAAGGCCGGGGCCATTTCTATGCAGAGCTGGGGATCCTGTACCTCCACACCTCCACGGCCTCCTGAAGAGCCCAGAGTCTCACAGCTGGAGGGCCCTGTGCTGGGAGTGTAAGCTTGGCTGTCACGCAAGAGGCTCACGGTCCTCTGGCGGCCGTGAGCACCGAGTGGGTTAATAGGCAAAAGCACCCAGGGCTGCGGCTAGCTCCCAGCCAACACTTAGGAAAAACTTGTGATGATTGACAGTGACAATGCTCGTGGCAAAGCCCAGACACATCTCAGACACCTGCCCAGGGAGCTGGATGGCTTCTTGGGTGGTCACAGAGAGCACAGTGTGCCCAAGTGTCTGAGGGGCCGCAGTTCTGGCTGCAGTGCACTGTCAGGACTGATGGGACTTGCACCCCCGTGGCACACAGGACAGCCTGGGCCTCTCCTTCTACCTAGCACCCCGGGGTGTACAGACACTAGTCAGAGACCTCACCCTGGATGGCTCTGATGCCATCCAATGCTCTGCCAGAACCTCCAGCTCCCAGGCCTGGCTGCCTGTACCCTGGGCTGCACAGCTGTGAGGCTGGGCCTCCTCAGGGACACCAGAAAGGCTCCCCCAGTCCCGGCCACTCGCCTGCCCGCTCCTCAGGACTCTTCCCTGCATTCCAGGCAAGCACATGCAGGCTGCAGGGGGCACTCACATCGGATTGGCTTCTACCGTGACTGGCAATGCCATTACTTGGAGTAGAGCAAATTTCTTTGTGCTCCAGATCTCCTCTCTCTCTGTCTCTCTCTTCCTCCCTTCCCTTCTCTCTCCCTCTTTCCCTTCCTTTCTTTGTTTGAGATGGGTCTTGTTACTTTTCCCAAGCTGATCTTGAACTCTTGGGCTCAAGCAACCCCCCTGCCACCATTGTTGGAAACTTCTCCATTACGCCAATTCTCCCTGAATTTCTATCCAGATATTACTTGTCTCTCTTTCCACAGCGGGGCATGTACCTTTTACTGATATATTTTCATCTGTGGTAGAATATAGAGAGCATATAAATTTGCCATTTTCACCATTTTTAAGCACACAAATCAGCAGCATTCATTTTAGTGTCAGGCCCAGGCAACGATCAATACTATTTCCAAAACTTGTTGATCGCCACAAACAGAAACTCTACCCAGTAAGCAATAACTTCCCACCCCCACTCGGGGCTCTGAATAATCAGGGCACCAATGTGCACAGAGAACAAGTGCCTGGCTGTGTCCCTCCCACATCACAAAGCCTGGGAGGTGGCATTTCTGCAAGCGGCTGATTGCTGAGAGAAGCCAGTCTCCTCGGGAACCCAAGTGCTCTGTCTGAGGCCGCTCAGAGGTGTGCGGATGGGTCTCTATCCCCATCTCTAACCCAGCAGGCCTAGCAGCCTCTCAGACACAGCCTCTCCTTTTCTATTCCAGGAAGACTCTTCCCCTTGTGGCCAGGGAGCTGGAGACAAAAGCCATAACCACAGGGACTGTTTCTTTCCTTTTCTTTCTGGTCCTCCAACTCAGGATGCAAGGTAGCCAGAGGTGGGCAGGGCTGCTGGGACCCTGGCGAGCAATGGTTCTGCTATACTCACAGCCCAGCCCGGGCTGGAATCCACTTGGGATGACTGGGATGCCCAAGAGAGCCATTCCCGGGAGCTAAGCGGATCCAAGCTCACCCTGTTCTCCCTGTGGACAGCGATCATGTGGACTGTACTTTGGGACAGCACTTGGGCAAAGCAGCAGGACAGCAGCTTCCAAACTGGAGCAGCCAGCCCGGTGTCAGATCTTGGAGTAACACGAGTATCCGTCAGACAGAGCCAGGCTCGGTGGTCTCTCAGCGGTCTGCACCCGTGCGGTGTCTGCAGCACCCTGTGAGAGTTTCCTGCTGAGAACTGCAGCTAGACTGCCTGGGGTGTGTTTGGGCCTGATGGGGGCTTAGCTGGCCTCGTCTCTCAGGAAACAGAGCTGATCTGTGACCCTTTGAGAACAAAGGAGGACAGGAGAAGTGGACATGGGGACAGCAGACTTAACACGAGACACTGAGCCTCAGGGGCAGGTGAGCCTTTTCCTGGAAAAGAAAAGAAAAGCCCACAGGAGCACTTCCCTTCAGGCAGCCAGCAGTCTACAGAGAGGGAGGCGGGCGCCTTGTGCCCAGGTTGTGGGTACCAGCAGGCACCTTGCTTCCCGCCTGGCTCCGTGGTGCAGGAGGTTACACTGCATTCACCCAGGAAGCAGAGGAGAGGAGGATGGAAAGACAGACTCTAGCTCCTCTCATTGGAGCGATGTGCAGCCGCAGACTGAGCACAAACGCTGTCCTGTCCACACGCTCTCCTTATTCCTCAGGGATCTTTAGCTGCCGGAGAAAAATGAGGTTTCTGGATGATGCGTTCCAGAGAAGTAAATGTGCAAAAGCAAATTATCATTAAAGTACTAGCCGGACTGCAGCCTCAGCGGCTCATGGATTTCTCCTCACGGTTTCATTTTGGGCAGCGAATGGCCTGTTGAAACTGACTGCTAACCTGCTAACTGAAACCAGCTCCTCTTTAGGTGTGTGCTTCACGAGGGAGGGCTCTGGCCAGTTTGGTCATCCGTATGAGGCCAGTGAGTGAGGCAGGGAAGGGCCAGTCTGGGAGGAGGACATTTCCTTGCTGAAACTGAATGAACTGTGTGAGCACACCAGGCGAGGTGCTCAAAACTTGTGTGTTTACTCACCCGGTTATTTTTAGCATTACAGAAGGCTCCCTTCTAAACAAATGGGTTAGGTTCTAAAAAGTTCATTTGTAATCCGGCTGTTTAGATTTTCGGATGTTTAGATTTTTGGAACATATTTTCCCTATAGAAAACAATGTTACAAATGGTAATGAGACTTCTAGGTTAGTTGTCCAAAGCCTATTTAACCCATAATGTAGCTAAAATACTGTCCTTTTGCAATGGGGAAAAAAAATTATTGCCACATGAGTAATTAAATGAAAGAAGGAAAACCATTACAGCCGAATAAGTAGAGTTATGCTGATCTTGAATGATACTGTTTGCAGAAAACTAATTTAATTTAAGAAGAGGCCTTTTTGGGAACTGCATGGGATTTATCCCATGAGGGAACAAGAGGCATCGGACATTGGAATCCGTGGCTTCTGAGTATCTGTGTCACTCCACTGGCTCCATTTCTTGACTTCAGACTCCTCAGAAAGTCTTCCCATCAAAATTTATGCTCCCATGTGGATTCTCACAGAGAGAAATTCACTGGTCAAAGCCCACAGAGGGATCTCCTGGGGGACACCTTGGTTCTAAACAGCTGGCCAGCAACTACCTTCGTGTAGGTCCTGGGGACACGGGTGCCCCATCTCTCCAACTTCAGGGCAGTGGTAGGATCTTCAGGACTGGAGGCTGAGTCCTGGCTTGCAGTGGGACTGGGAGGTGAATTCACTTGCAAGGTCCCTGGGCAGCTGCTTGTGCACTGGAATACGTGTAACACCAGGGTGTGTAAATCCTAAGGGCCCACACTGATTCCTTACACCAGGCAGTGTGGCCGGGGCATCTGGTCGACCCTGTCTTTCCTGCCGGGGCCAGAGCTCAAAGAGGAACAACTCCGTCTCAGCGACTGAGTGTGACACGCTGTATCTTGTGCTATCTACATGATCGTGATTCTCATATCCTTAGATGAATGCCCTTTCACAACTGTGACATTCTAGCATATTCCATCAACGGGCAGGGTCTCCACATGCTTAAATTTTGCACGATTTCTCTTATAATCTGAGAAATTTTATAATTCTGAGAAACCCAGACTACAAATAAAGAGCAAAATGAAAGGTAACAGGAAGTGGGGAGACAGATCTTTCTCGAGTAGGAAAGGAATCAAGAGATGGAGCAGGGGGAAAGCGGGGAGGGGAAGAGGAAGAAAAAGGGAATTAAAATGTGTGTGTGCCGGTATGGACTCCACCCAAGGAATGTAAATACTCTGCAGACGTGGACTAAGACAGCAAGAGAGCACGAAAAGAGAGGTGGGCTCTTTGCTGGTTCTCTAAAGCCTGAAATCTAGACTGGCTTTTCTGCTTGCTTCAGCCAATGGAATTTGAGCAAAAATGCCTCAGGCTGAGGTGGGAGAAGCATCCAGGGGCCGTGGCCTTGTCCCATCCTGCGTAAGAACCCCGAGTCACCACGTGAAGAGCCTGAGCCAGCCAAATGGAGGGTGCCACGTCACACAGGGGCCCCAGCACCTCCGCCAAGTGTCAGCCAACCACACGTGTGCCAGTGACACCACTCCCAATGGACTGAATCGCCAGCAAGCCCAAGACTGACCACAGACAAGTAAGAGAGTGGGCCAAGACCAGCAGTGACCAGCTGACCCACAGGAGCATGGCGGCTTAGGCCCCAGAGTTTGGCTGGCTCCAGCCCAGGAGGTCTCCTGATGTCTTTATCTCGTCATCCTCAGTTGCCTTTGTCCAGACCACGACTTATCTTACATGTGCCAAAATACATAAACATCTCTCTTCTTTTCTCTACCTTGATCAGAAATTGAACTTTGAGCCACTCAGATCTACTCTCCCCAAACGGTAGGCCTTTGAAATGGGTGCTTTGGAAATGTGACATTTTCCAATTCTGTACCCACTTTGTGACTGACAGATGGGTTTGCAGTCAATGAAGATACAATCCAAACTGTAACTATGACTTCAACTGCAGGCAAAAGCCATTAGCTCGGTACTAACGTGTGCGAGTTCTCTCACAGTGCTTTATCCGGGGCTGATAATTTATCACCGGGGAAATCACAAATACTTGTTCATGGAGCAAGCCACAGTCTTTTGGATAAAATCACTTGCAGGCTGGAAATTCACGACGAAAGGAATGTGAGTCATTTCCCAACCAAGCTCCCTCAGCAGCCTTTGATTTTTAATGTGAACACAGCAGGAATGGGAGGTGCATGCAAAGCTCCTTTAGCTATTCATGGACCCCAGAACCACGCAGGGACCCCAGCATGGGCTGCCTCATCGGTCATTCACACAATCCCCACAGAGGTCCCAGATCATGGCCCCATGGGTGGGTGGAAGCCAGCATGCACAGGGAAGGCATCATCTTCATGATAACAGACATCCACGCTGACAGCCCAAAGGCTCACAAATGCCAAGCCCCTGGCGCACGTTTGGTTCTCTACACGTGGAGTCTGTGGTTTCCCTGCCTTTCTCAGCTCACCCCGGGCCTCTGACACAGGTTATGTTGCACACATCACAGCCAGACTTATTTTCAAGGGCTTAGCTTGGAGGGATGGTGGGAATGTTTCAGCCTGAACGCTCCTGGGCACGAGGACACAGAGCCCTAGTACATTTCACAGGCATCCGAGAGGACTCTGCAGAGCCCATTCTTTCAGGAATGAAATCGTATTTTATGAAGCTGTCCCTTTCCTGTTTCATCTGTCAAGCAGGTTTGTTGAGAATAATTTAAATTTCATGCAGCAGCAAGTGCAGGGCACCGGTGCCTCCCGTCCACACCCCACACAGGCTGGCAGTGAAGTTGCACCTCTGTCCCGCAGGGCAGCCTTCCCGAGGGGTCCAGACAGCCGGTGGGCGCCTGGGATGGAGTGCTGGCCCCTCTCCTCAGCCTCAAGCCCTGCCCTTCGGGGAGGGACAGGACAGACAGCTTGGGGAGCCTCTTTAGCACAGCAACACCAGCCAGAGGGCTGGTTTCCCCTCAGTGGACAGGTCCTTGGATAAGCTCAATCTCTTGCTTAACTTTTTCTTTCTTTCTTTCTTTTCCTTCTATTTTTTTCTTCCTTCCTTCTCTCTCTCTTTTTCATTAGTAGTGGGGATTAAATCCAGGGTCTTTACGCTGAGCTACATCCCCAATCTTTTAATTTTGAGACAAGGTCTTGCTAAGCTGCTACATTGCCCAGGCTGGGCTCAACCTTGCCATCCTCCTGCCTCAGTCTCCCAGATTGCACCAATTATAGATATGCAACAACATCTCACCTGGCTACTTTAATTCTTAAAAAAAATTTAAGTTTGAGTGCTTACCAAGTGGCAGGTATGGTTTTAGATTTTTCTGCACATATTAAGTAACCCTTCCAAGGAGGATACATTGTTATTCCCATTTTAGAGGCTGAGAAACTGAGGTTGGATTCTTAAGTGGCAGAGCTAGGGTTCAGTCCCAGTTCTGTCTGACTGAAGAGCTTAAAAGCTCTCACCAGTCATGCAGATGACCAAACCTTTGGTTTAACTTTCCCTCCTGTACCATGAGAGATAAATGTGCCCATTTTCTGGCCTGAAATTTGGAGTTTGCAGTCATCCGAGTGGATGAGAGACAGCGAAGTTATCATAATTACGCTGCAATCATGGTTGCCATGGTGAAGACACGCAGCCTGGGGCGGAGAGAGCTGGCCTGGCTCCTTCTGGCTCTCTCCAGGTGGCCTTGGAGAGTAGGGCAGCTACACTTGCTTGGCACCTTGCTGTTCTTGCCTGCAGAATTAGGCTTTAGGTGCATGTGTTACTCTGCTCTTCTTGCTCTGGGAATTCCTGTCCTGGGGAGCGACATGGGCATGCACAGGGCTGGGAGGGTGAGCTGAGAGGCCCTCAGTGACTCAGTGGCCGGGGAGCCTGGGTCTGTCCCGTTGGCCTTTCATCAAAAGCATCGAGAAATCTTCAGGCCACAGTCACATAAGTGATGAAATGAAATTAACTCAGGCCTGAGAGTGACAGTGACCGAAAGAATGGTCATCGCCTTGCTGACCAGAGGCCAGCAGCCTCTGGAAGCACAGCCAGGCCTCCCCTTTCAGGGAGCCGTGATTCTCAGCCCTACTAGGAACAGGCCCGTGCCCTGGAAATGAGCCAGTGACCAGCAGGATGGGACTGGCAACGTCCCTGAGCCTGTGACATTTCTCCTGGCCCACACCTCATTGAGTGGGGACACCAGGGCCCGACATCACCAACACCTGTGCCCGGGCAGCTTCTCTGGGCACCTGCCCTGAGTCCCTCAGAGTGGTTCTGGCCCATGCGGGGCACTGAAGCCTTTGCCACGGACACTAGGCTTGCCCCTTCCTGTGGCCTCCAATGCCCCACTGCAGAGGAACACCTCGCTCTGGCCCAGTTTCTACCTGGCAGCTTCCTAGCCGTTCCCTCTAGCGTGGCATCTCCCTCTGAGTCCTGCAGGTCTTTCCTCTGGGAAGAGGGCCTTGCGGCTGCCAAAGGCTTCTAATCCCTTTCCCTGGCTGCCTGGTTGCCCAGTGTGTGGGTCTAGCTTCACTTCGGGGCCAGTGAGCCACCCTCTCCTTACCCCTCTTCTTCGGGCTTCCTCCTTGAGGTCGCCTTGAGTCCGAGGGACTTTCCCTGCATACACAGGGCCAGCTCCTGTTTCTCAGGTGAATCCAGCCTTATCATCTGTCCTCACTGTGGGATGGCCTTGTCCCGTGAGCTGCGCCTGGTGATGGTGGCAGCCGGGTGACCTCAGCACCTAGAGAGGACTCACATCTGCCGAGTCCCGTTCTGTCCTGGGCACTGCACTCACACAACCACACACCGCGGGTGGGCCGCTGCTCCTGTTTACAGAATCGAGGTCCAGCGAGGTTGGGTGGCATGTCCAGCTCACTCAGCAAGCATGCAGTTGACTGAAATGAAAAGCCAGTCTATTGCCAAGTCTGGTTTTACCCTCCTCGCTCAGCCACCTCTGTCAGGCACAGAAGAAATCTCTGGGTCACCTGGTCACTCCAACCCAGCTGCAGGTTCATGATACACTGGCCTGTGAGCCCCGGAGGGTAGGAGTCAGCCCTTGGCTGCTTATTGAGCAGCAAGGTTGACCAGGGAAGCCGTGACGCCTGTGCCCGGGCCTCTCCCTGTGGGGTGTTGCACCGGTCAGACACACGGTGTAGGAGCTGGGCTTCTGGAGGTGCCATGGCCTACATGGAGCGGCCACTGCTGCCCTCCTTCCCTGAGCTCCCGGTGCCCTCGGGCACTCCCAGGACCCAGGTCTCATCAGGCGCAAACCAGCCCTGGGGGCGTGAAGTGGGGCCGTGCAGGAGAAGGAATCTGCCTCCTCCCGGTCCGGTCCCGTGCCTGGGGCTGGCTGTCCCCACCGGCCTGAACTTTCGCCCTCTCGGCCCCTCCTGGCCGCTGGACTCGGCCTTTGCTCAGCTGTTGTTTTCTGTCTGTGGCTGGTTCCTTCCTCCCATGCAGCTGTGGTCTGGGCCCCATCCAGGCAGGAATGCTGACTATTGAGCTGCTCTGGAGCAAATCAGAAGCCATGTGACACAGCCAGGGTGTCCTGCAAAGAGCCATCAGCACTGACCCTCGCCTGGCAGAGTCCCAAGCAAGCCAGCCTCCCAGCGTACCCGACACCATCTCCGAACAGGCATCCGTTCTAGGGGCAGAACCATTAAGTGGGCCTTCGGGGTCCAGGCTGCCTCCCACCTGGAGCCCTGGATGTCGGCTCCCGAGTTGCCAATCCCAGGTGGCCAACAACTGGCTTTGCAGAGTGCCTGCCAGATGTGATCACGGGGCCAGCGGCTGGCTCTGCCGGGCGGAGGTCGCCCATTCAGAGCAGGCGGGGGTGGGGGCCCAGGGAAGGAATGTTTTTTGCTAGCCCGGGGGTGGGGGGGCAGCGTGCCCAAATAATCCTTCATCTTCTCTCCTGCCCGACATTCCTTTCCTTCCTGCCTCAGTGGGGAGGGTGTTTTCATAACAGGAAAATAAAATCAATAAGGCACTGCACCAAGATGCCAGTGTGCTGCGGCGGTCTCCAGTAGCTCCATTGTCTCGGGCCTCCGCCGGGCTCTGCAGCCCGCAGCACTCTCTCTTATTAAGGGGAAGCGGGGCTCAGGGGGTCTGGAGGTCTTGGAAACAAAGGCACAGCACACCTGGAGCACCGCCGTGCCACTCACAATGGCCGGCCCGGGGCTTCCCGCCTTTAATTTCTCCTGCAACTTTTATGAAAGCTGGGGGGAAAAAAGGCCACACACACACACACACACACACACACACACACACACACAGGCACGTGCACACACGGGCACAGGCCCTGAGAGGGCTGTTGGGAAGCGACGCTGAATGGCTAGCAGAGGCAGAGAGGGCGGATGGATGAATGGGCTTCCTGCCTGGGCCCCACCGTCCCCCTTTAGGCTCTGAGCAGCAAGGACGAGGGGCCCGGCTCAGCCCGAAGCAGGGCAACGCGCCTGGTGACACTCATGGCCAAGTTCTGTGTAGCACATAGATTGCTTTCTGCCACCATTCCTGAGGCTGGCGCTGGCTCTTCCAGGAAAAACAGACCAACCAGGAGCGAGAGGCCCTGAGGCCAGCACCGGGTGGCCAGACCCTGCGAGAGCTCCAGTGACCTTGTGTCTGGGGTCCTCCGCAGTAGGGCGGTGCAGTAACAGGCTGCTCCCTCTCCAGGCTTGGGGGGCTCAGGGCCGACCTCAGGCATGCAAATCCACAGTCTGGCGGCGTGAATGTCCAGGGTGGGTGGTGACCCTGGGCAGCTCTCCCTGTGGGTCAGTGTCTGCTTATGAACCCCCGTCACTGAGGAGCTGGCTGAGCCCCGGTTCTCCTGTTTAGGGAACCTTACTGCCAATCTGGATTTTGTGGTTATTTTACCCGTTCATTAGCCTTTAATCAGTATAGCACAGGGCAACAAGCACCTGCTTCCCTCCCTGTAAGTGGCTCCCAAGAAACTTCTCAGGAAATAAGCCAGAAGAGGTCCTCAGAAACAATTTGCAGACTCCTGCAGGGAGGCCACAGCCCTGGGGAACTCAGACTCTTGAGGCCTGTGGTGCCGGCCTAATCCCTCTGTGTGGCTTCTTCCCAGACAGGATGCCGGGTCTTACCTTGGTGGTGACCGCAGAGGCGGAGCTGGCCACAAGGCTGGTGATGGCCTCGCTGCTACCTGTGGTGCAGGGAGTGGGGGCTGTGGCTGGCGTGGGCAGCCGGGAGGGCACCACAGGCAGTGGCAGGAGGCCAGGCCGGGCACTGAGGCTGCTGGCTGTGCTGGCGCCGGCTCCTGAAGTGACACTGCAGATGCTGGTGGTCCCATGGGTCCCGTTGACGCTCCACTCGCGGCGGTCCCAGCCTACCCGGTAATCTCTTTCGAAGCGGCTGTGGTGCCGGGACATCTCCGTGGGCCGCGGTGGCTTCTCACAGGGAAACAGAGCCCGGACCTGCCGGCACAGAGTGAAGAGGAGGGCGGTTTAGACAAAGGGGAGCCCCTCTCGGACGCGGGTGGCAGCCTCAACCGGCAGCGTCCACCCAGCCCCTCCTCTGAACTCACACATGGCTTCCCATGGTTAGCTCAGCTCAGATCTGCAGCAAGCCCAGAGAGCCAGCATCATCCCAGGCCCCACTTCACTGACGAGGAAGAAACCGCCTCTCCAGGGTCAGATGGTCAGGTGGCAGGCAAGATTTGAACCCAGGTGCCTTGCTGCAATCTCACGGCTCCTTATAGACTCTGGGAGGCGTCAAGGCACGACAACCCCAACTGTGGACAAGGGAGCTCACCGAGAATAAGTCGCCCCTGGCATCCGGGAGCTAACAGTAAGCAGAGGTCAAGGTGCTCAAGTGTCACTCCCTGGCTCACTGATTCTGCGAGGCGTTTTCCCGCACAGCCACGGCCTGCGACTCAGTCCTTCCCCAGGAGCCCGTGGGGCTGGCCTCGGCTCACCAGACCACCCATGAGGCGTCCTGAGTACCCAGCGGAAGGCCCTTCGAGGTTGTCATGGAGACCCAGACACACCACGGTACTGGAGGGCCTCCTGAGTCACCCAGGGTTGCATCTTACACAGCATGACAGGCAGGGCCCAAGGCCAGCCCCGTAAGGAAGGGAGGGAAGAGGAGACAGAAGGAAGGGGGCACGGCGGAGCTGGGCCCAGGTGGGCAGTTTCGGGTGGGGTCCGTCCTGCACTTGCACCGCCAGCCTTGATGGTGGCTCAGTCACTGGGGTTTTCTTTGGCCCTGTTCTCCTTTCTGCTCATTTCCAGGCTGGGGTGTGAGCTCCTGGAGAACTGTAGGGCTCCTGGCTTCTTTTCTGTCCCACCTGTTTATCTCTGGAATTGCTGGCCAGTGGGAGAACAGGACACCTTCTTTTTAAAGTTTCTCTAAAGCCTGATTCTCCTCTGCCCTGTACGCATGCACTACCTGTGTGGCTGGCCTGGCTGTGGGAGCCACTGATCCCTTTGCGAGGCATATGGAAGAGACCTGAGCCCCCTACACCCGAGGTGAGCCTGCAGTAAAGGTGATGATCACCTCCAAAGTCGGACTGGATTCCTGTTCAGTTCACCATTACACTTCCTGACTCACACAAAATAGCCATTCAACATTACATGGTTAAAAAAAATAGAAATCAACTCCCCTTTGACCAGCTCTCATCTAGTTTTTCAACAAAGGCTGTCATCCACTCTCAGCCCCTCTCTTCCTCCTGTTTACTCTGGAATCTGCTCCTACATTGCTTCAGCTCTGGCCAGGCCAGGCAAACTGTTCAGACCAAGGTCATGGATGTCGCACTTATTAAGCCCAATGTCTGACTGGTGCCCTCGTCCCCTGGGTGCCTCTCCCGTGACATGCTCATTGTTTTGTCTTTCTGGAGCTCTCCTCTACAGATTTTGTGGCCCTCTGCTTGTTCCCAGCCTAAAAGCTGGGCTCTTGAGGTCCAAGATCCCCCCCCCCACTCTACAGCCCCCTGCACCGGCTTGTTCAGCCGGCCCCCTGGCCTGTGATGCTCAGGGTCCATTCCCAGCTCTCCTCCCTCCTAAGCACCTGCAGCTTGTCCTGTGCCTCCGCCTGGCTGCTGCTGCTCAGTTACTCAAACTCCAAACGGTCTCATTGTTCTTTTGACGAACACCCGTCCATAGGAATTCCCTTTCACAGAGACAGAGAGAGAGAGTTGCTCTGTTTCTCCGTCTCCACCCCCATATCCACAGTGGGGTCACAGACCCCATTGTCCGGCGGCTCTCAGATCTGCCCTGCATCTGTGTGGATGCTCCACTGTCTCTCGCATCGGCTGCTTCCGCTCATTTTTCTGCCCCAGCCTGCTCTTCTCACCCATTCTCCAGCCTACTGGCTGTCCGGTTTTTTAAAAGCACAGACTGTGACACTTTTCTTGTCTGTACTCAAAGCCCGTCCCTCAGAAGCAGCTCATAACTCGTCCTGGTGGCCAAGCAGATACTGGAGGATCTGGGCTGGCTCGGTTCCCAGCATCCTCTCTCACCGGTCCCACCCTGCTTACTGCAGGCGCCCTTGCATTCTGAAGGCCTTGTGTCCTCCCTCAGCGTAGGCCAAGCCCATGCTGCCCCTTTATCAGGAATGACTTTTGTTCTCCCCTGGCAAAGGTTAGTCTTCTGTGACAGCTCGGCATAGTCTTCTAGGAGGTGGTGCTGACCTAAGCCCTCTGGTCCAGTGAGAGCCCCCCACCAAACCACTGAGCATCCAGCACCCACCGCCACCCCACTGTCCACGGCTGCTGCACATCCGTCACTGTCGACAGGTCCCAGGCCCCAGCGTGTACCAGCATGGAAAGGTGTCAGTACACGTGTGAACAGACACATGCTTATTGTTTCTCACTTGTGGAACACTTCTAGAAAGGACAAACACATTTGTACGAGACGGAGGACCTCATTCCCAGACACCTTGAGCTTCCAATGAGCAGTTCCTCATAGGTACTGGAAAGAGAGGTCCTTCCTGGAAAGCCAGATCTGAGCCTCTCCAAGTGGAGGGGTGAACTCCCAGCTTGGGCTCTTGTCTCCCGGGGTTCACCTCCCAAAACAGGAAGACTCAGCCACCACTGCTGTGAGACGGGGGCCAGGCGTCTGTGTCTGGCAGACAGGAGTGGGAGGTGGTGGAGATGGGGTTCAGACCCGGCCCAGTAAAACATCTCCGTGACTTAGCCTTTCTTTCCCTGGCTGTGCCACACCTTCTGGATGGTGTGGCCGCTGCTCTCCCAGCCTCCATCTGCTTGGAACTGGCAGTCTCTTGGTTACCTCTGCACAGCCCCATCTGGACTGACAGACTGACACTCTCACTCAGCCCCCGCATTCCTATAAAGCAGTACAGATCACCTATTGTTGAGAACATCACCTCCTGCCAGCTGGCGAGGAAGAGAGAATGCAGGGTGGGCCAGTAACCCTGCATGCTGAGACCTGCCTAGGGACACCCCAGTGTGGTTGGGGTCAGGTCAAAGGGGTCACGCTGGCCCCCGTGCAGCCTCAGATGCCACGGAAGCCTCTCTGCTGGCTGACTCAGCCACCCTTGCCTGGAGCCCACCGCCTTGCTCATGGTGTCCATGCATTTGAGAAAATCCAGCCTGGCAACCTTCGCCTGCCACCACCCTCAGCCCGCTACCATCTCTTCCTGCGTCCTTCAAATGCCAGACAGGAGGCAGAGACTTGGGCAGCTGGAGGCCACACAATCTGGTTTCAGTCTCATTAAGTGTATTCAAAACAAAGGTCAACTATTTGCATGCCAGCGCTTGGGTCAGACATCATCCCTCCGTGTAATTTCCCCTTTCAAACAAACGAAAGAAATGTGTTGCACAGTTTACTCTGAGTGAGACGGCAGAGTGCCAGCCCAGAGATGGCAGCTTAAGCATTTCCTGCTGGGCATGGAGCCAGCGTGTCACAGGGGTCCCTGTGTGCACGCACGTGTGCCCCTCTGTGCGGCTGGAGGCACGCGGGCAGCACACGTGCAATGGGAGGAGGCCCTGCACGGACAAGGCACTTCCGACCAGACTGGTCACGCAGTTGCAGACAAAACACAGAAACACGCTTCCCTTCTGAGGTGAGCACCTTTCCCTGGCAGCCTGCCTCGGAGCTGGGAGAGCCTGGCATGGAGCCTGCACCAAGAAGGGAGGCATTGGGAATAGCAGCCGTCACTTGGTGTGGCGGGGACGGTTAGAGTGTGGGGCTGCACCTGGGCAGCTGCTGCCTGTTACATAACACACACATGCGTGAAGAAGCTCTGGAGTCTACGAAATCTTGCCTTGGTGGGTGGAGCAGCTCACCCCATTGTCCAGGGTTGGGGGGGTTTGTGCTGTTCCCTTACTTCTGAGACGAGGACAGGCTGACCACAAAGGCCATGCAGAGACAGGCATTTTATATGCAGAACTGGGCTCTGAATTCTAGGATCCTGTTTTCAGTGGAGCTGTGTGTCCACGGAAGCACTGTCCTCTGAGCTGTGCCTGGGGGAGCTGGGCTAGGAGAGAGGAGGGGAGGAGACTAGATTCTTCCTGGTTGGGTGGGGCCCCCTTTTCTGCCTCCCCAAGGCCTCACATTGGTGGTGCCTGCCAGCCCACAACAGGCACGCACCCACGGCTTTGTACACTCATTTTCACAACAGCCCACATGCACACATCCGGGTCGGTGGCTTCTCAGTGTTGTCTGGATCCACAGAGGTTGGTGCCCTGGTCCTGCTCACAGCTGGGGAAACCGGGTCAGGCCTGGATTCTCCGCCCCTTTTGTGGTAGACACAGCCCTCTCTCAGGCAGTGGGGACAGGAAGGAGCCACCTTACAGAATTCGGGTAACTTTGAGGAATGGGGTCAGCACAGTACCCCGTCAGGCTCCCGGTGGGCCAAAGTGCTCCTGTGACTGTTTAGGCATTGATCTTGCTGTACCCCAGTCTCCAGTTCAGAGCTACTTGCAGATATCTCTACACAGATACTCCTCCAAACTGAATTATAAAGTTTCTGGCACCCCCAAATGTCACAGTGTCATAGTGACCAGCTTTGGGGAAAATCATGGTACGAAGTCAGCTAAATAAAGATTCGGATGATACATCAGAAGCGTCACCAAAGCCACCACCTGGGTGTGTCCATCGGCATTGTGTCCCCTGTGGGAGGGGCTTTTTCCTTCTGCTGCTCAGGAGGGGGAGGGCCTGCCTCTGCTGCTTCGTCTCTCCTCAGAGCTGAGGTGCAGACTCCCCAGAGGCCTCACTCGCTCCCCAAGTGCCCTCCACTAGGAGGGTCCCTGACCTGGTTCCTCCAGAAGGGTACTTCCTGCAGGTTTCCCAGCTATTAGTAGTGGGCAGAGGTCAGCGGCTTCTCTGCCTGCTGATGGGGTCAGGTCCTCATGATGGCAGCATGGCTTGAAGCCAGCGCCCCTGGGTCTTGTGGGCATGAAGGCGGGGCCAGCTGTCCCCAGAGGCGCTTTTGGTTATCAAGTAGAGAAGACAAA